GTTTTCAGTGAGCCATTTTGTCACTTCGGTCAAGCAACTAGTGAGAGTGCAAAGTTTATGTGGCTCACTTGGCTTGAAAGAGCAGTACAGTTGCAGATCATCGGCATACAGATGATAGGACACATCACTGAACTTCTGGATGACCCTGCTCAGAGGAAGTAGGTACAGCAGGAACAGGACAGGTCCCAAGACCGATCCCTGTGGCACACCCCACAAAAGCTCTGCAGAATCAGACACTGCATTTCCCACTGACACACTAAAAGTTCTGCCAACCAGGTAAGAGGTGAACCATTTTAAAACGCAACCCGACATACCAACCAAATGTTGGAGCCTGTTTATTAGGATGCCATGGTCCACTGTATCAAACGTCGATGACAGATCCAACAAAASCAGCACAGAACATTTACCGGTGTCAGCTGCCATCATAATATCACTAAACACCTTCAACAGGGCTGTTTCAGTGGAGTGAAACTCACGATACCCAGATTGAAAAGTGTCATAAATATCATTTACCTGCAAAAATGATCTAAGTTGGGTGYAGACCACCTTTTCCAGGACTTTGGCCAAGAAAGGGGTCTTGGATATTGGCCGGAAATTCTTGAGTTTGAAAGAGTCCAGTCCCRTTTTCTTTAACTGTGGCTCCACAATGGCATGTTTAAAAAGACTAGGAAACACACCACTAAGCAAAGACATGTTAAACATTTTTGCAATATAGGGCCCAATGGAGTCAAAAACCCTCATAAACAGTTTAAAAGGAAGAACATCTAAAGTACCAGAGGACGGTTTCATTTTTTTGATGATGGTTGAGATGTCTTCCACAGTAACAGGCTCAAATGAGGCCCAGYTCTGAGTGGGAGGTTCAAAATGCTGGGAACCATGGCAAGGAGGCAAGCTGTCCTTTATTACTTTGACCTTGTCAATAAAGAAATCCAGGAACTCATCACAACTAATTGTAGAATTATGAGGATTTACAGCAACAGGTGACACAAGAGAGCTGATAGTGTCGAAGAGCACTTTAGGATTTCTTATATTTGAGGCAATCAGACATTTAAAATAACTTGCCCTGGCCTCCTCAATCCTCTTATTAATGAACAATATTAAGTCCTTTAAATGCAGCCTATGGACCTCCAATTTAGTAGACTTCCATAAACGTTCAGTCTGGCGGCATGTTCTCCTCAGAGACATAATTTCATCATTTATCCAAGGACAGAAACTTTCCTGTGGTGCTTTCCTAGCCTTAACTGGCGCTACTTGATCCAAGATATCAGCACATTGGCTATTAAAACCATTCACAAAACAGTCAGTTTCAGTGAGATTATTAAGAAGAGAAGGATCAAACTTATCACAGAAAAGCATAGCTGTCGCCTCTGTGATGATTCTCCTCTTTACCTCAGTAAATACAGGCCGAGGTTCAGACGGCACCATCAAGTCAAAGAAAACACAGTAATGGTCACTGAGAAGCACATCCTCCACACACACATTGGTAATTTGCAAGCCCAGTGCAAAAACCAGGTCTAACGTATGACCCTTGTTATGTGTGGGACCTGAGACATACTGGGTAAAGTTAAACGCCTCTGTCAGTGATATAAGATCTCTCGCTGGGATAGAAGTAACAATGAAATGTACAATAATTACATCCAATGGCCCATTGACTAAATAAGGGACTGTAGCACAGATAGCTGACTTTGCCACTGAATTATATTAAGATTATGAATAAAATACAAGAAACCAAAGAAGATATTTACATTAGATTTAAGCACACGTAGATTTGAAAACTTTATAAGACTACAAATACTCATATTTTATCAATATATGAAATGTCCCATGAGCCTTTGCTGCCTGAGCAAGTAAGTGTACAGATTAAAAACACAAACAAACAAAATATGGGCCACTGCACTGGCTCTTGGCTTAATCATAAAAAGTAAAAGCACTTTACTTAAGAAGTATTAGCATTTCCTCTATTATATTATTGCATTTGGCCCGCAGCCTTTGGGTAGATTTTCATTTTGGCCCTCCGAGGGAATAAGTTTGGGCACCCCTGATATATACCATTTCCGGTTTCTGCTAGCTCAGTTTGCGGTGGTGCTCAGAGCTGTGATCTACTCTTTTCATCTTGTGGCTCGTTTTGCCTCTGCAAATCCTTTTATTAAATCATCCAATGACCATCCATGCAGCACTTGCTTTTTATTCACTTGTTTCTGCCTTTTGATAAATATTTCCACGACAATCTTGGCGTCACAAACATGATTTTGGAACCAGGCCAGGTTCAGTTAGAGCTGAGGCAGTTAGTCTGCCATCTGAGGCCTCAGATAGCTGATGCACAGAACGAAAACATGCAAAACACAGCTCAAACTTTGTTCTGTAAGCATCCTGAAATGGAGAGAAACAGACGCCAGCTGTTTGTGTATCAATCCAATCTCTGGCAGACACACAGTTCAGCACAAAAGGCCCCAAAGCACACCACTTGCCAGATGGGGCTTTAGCCAAAGCTATGTGAGAAAGAGACTCAGGAATCATGAAAAACTCAGACTGTGTAGGATACAATGTTACTGAGACAGCACAGCGTGCTGAACTCCAGAACAAAAACTCTGTACGAAGGATTTCATTAGAATCTTCAAGAAAAGAAACAGCATTTGGATCACTTTGATCTGGTGTGATCATCGCTGTACAGTGCAAATGAGCAGTCTGCATCACTACTGCAGAGGGAGTAATTAACTCTCTTACTTTTTGTACCAGATAAACAGCGGGAACCCCCCATTGATAAACAAACAGGTCTTTCTTCCTTCTCAATGCTGGACATGTGAGCTTAACTGTTTCTCTTATGACTTTAAGCCCTGTGGGAGTTGATACCAGACTTAATCCGAACTTCAGAATCAAATCTCTAGCTAAAAGATTCACAGGACAGTTGGATGAGAGAAGAAATCTATGCTGAAGAGATTTAGACCCAGCACTGTTCCCACCAAGATCTGTACACTGAACCCATTCGGCAAAATGCTTATGAACACATTTTCCCAAAGCCCCGGTAGAAAAAGCAAAATCTTTACTCCTAGCTAATGCAGGCGCATTCGAGGTTTTGAAAACAGAGTGTGTAGCCCCAGAATCAACAAGAAAAACCACAGGATTCTTATCAACCAGTAAAGTGAGAGTTGGATACAGTTTAAAAGCACCAGACAAATACTTCACATTATTATGAGCATGTTTGTGTGTATGTGTCTCAGAGGGGTGTGTGGGTGTGTGTGTGTGTGTGTGTGTGTGTGTGTGTGTGTGTGTGTGTGTGTGTGTGTGTGTGTGTGTGTGTGTGTGTGTGTGTGTGACTCAGAGGGCTGTGTGTGCGGGTTTGCTTATCTGTGTGGGTGGGCTCTCAGCCTGGATCGTCTGCTCTCCCTGCATCCACCCCTCCTCATGATGTTGGTCCCGGCTCTTGTGCACGTCTAGTCATCTGTAGCTGTCATCACTTTGCTGGTGGTGTTGGTTGAACTTCTTCAGACACGCCTTTGCCCAGTGGTCCAGAGATTCACAGACGAAGCAGCAGTACTGGTAGGAGGATTTTTTGTAGGGTTGCTGTGATTTCCAGTTACCGCGACCCCTTGCTCGGCCACGTGGGAAATGTTGTCCAGCATTTGTGTTGGAAGCTTAGTTGCTCAAAGCTTGAACCATCGTTAGTTGTGCTTGACGATGTTCATCAGCGAGGGCCTTCTCTTCTGCTTCTTTCTCCTCCAGTCACTTCTGGGTGTTTTTGGCATGTTTACGAAGTTTCCTCAGGCGACAGTCGTTGAGGTCACCACAGGAGATTCCAACAGCCGCTAGGGCATCAGGTAGCAGTCCATTCACGAAGTACTGCCTTATACTTGACTCCCAGTCTCCTATCTCTGCATCCAAGGATGTAGGCTTATCGATACATGAGTTTTCCTTGTGCACTGCGAGCAGTCTTGTATAATAATCTTTGACCCTCTCTGTCCGTTGTTGCTTGCAGGCCCTTATCTTTGCCATGACTATTTTTCTTGGAAAAGCTTTTTTTTATTGTGTCACACAGCTTGTCCAAAGCAGTGTTATATGGAGCGTTGTTCTCATGGTCAAAAGTGGGATGTAAGGGGCGTTGTTCACCCTGTAATTTGGTTTTAACTTTTTCGAAGTTGGTCAGCCCCATGTGAAGGGCTAGAAGCCTACGTAGCTCAGGCCAGGTGAACATGACTTCATGACAGAAAATTTGAATGGCTGTGCTGAATTTTTCACCTCCTTCAACAACGTTGGGGAGATGCTATATGTAGGCCTTCATTTCATCAACAGTCCAAGGACGAAAAACCAGGACTGGTCCAGCGTGGCCTGCAACTTCAATCATGGGGGCCTGCAATGTGATCTCAGCTATTTTCTGGGTCAGTTTGGCCATCTCTGCGTCCAACACTGCTTGTTCAGCTGCCTTTTTCTTTGCTTCTTTGTCCAGCCATCTTTGAGTCACGGCTGCCACGGCAGTAGAGCTGTGTAGGCCTGTGTTAGATTGAGGGAGCTTGTTTGCTTTTTTCCCTTTGACTTTGGCTCCCTTGTCATCAGCAGGTTTGGAATCTGGGTCATTCTTCACTGCTCTGCAGTGTGTAGAAGGCAGGGGAAGGGGAGCATCAGAAAAAGTTGCAGGGTGTTGGCTTTCCTCTGGGTCCCTTTCTCCTCCCTCCTCTTCGACCTCCTCATTGTTGGAACTCTCATAATCTGATGAGCCGGGTTGTGGGGGCAGAGACACGGGGCGAGCTGTAGATCCTCTTGTGGGCTCCGAAATCCAGAAAGAGAAGGATACAAAGATTTTGCACGTTTAGAATTAGTTTCAGACACAGTTTTTTTTTTTTTTTCATTTTTCTTGTCATCATGTTTTTTAAGATTGCTAGGCATTTTTGTTTCAGCAGAATTATCAACATTGTCATAATCAAACATGCACAGTTCTGAGCTTGTTTGTTTTTTATCTCTCCTTTTTGGCTTCCTCCAGCCAAGCCATGAAACGTTTTTATGCTGTTCTATTTGATAAAAATCAGAGATTTCTTTATTGTAGTTTGCGATCTAAGTTTAGATTTGTGTTTTCCTAAACACTCTTGTAACTGAGCCAGCTGATTTAAGCTGAATGACCCCTCCCACCCCTTAGGAAAACCATAGGAGTTTGACCAAACATGCACACACAATAAAACTTCCAGTCCGTAGGCCTTAAGCATAGCCCCACAGCATGAACCGTCCATGCCCTGTGATCTCTCGACACTTGTACTCTGTCCCATACCCGTATTCCCTGTTCTGTCTACAAAGAATAAACCTAGCTTCCAAAGGCTAAGCAGGGTGGCCACCCTTTTGGACTGAGCTATTTTTGTTAAAAACTCACACAGTTTAGGCCCTGAGAAACTAAAAGCTAATAGCTAAACTAACTCTCTGTAAACTTTGCTTACTCTCGTAATTGCAAAATCTAAGTTTAAACATCCCATAAATAAATCACAGTGTTCATGGTATAAAGAATTAGAATTGCTCATGCAATGTTCCAAATCAAAATGCTTTTAGTTTTTGCAACTTTAGCATTAGCTCACCATAATTCTACCGATGGGAAAAGGTCCGTTTTCCTCCAACGATCAGGTCACCTTCCTGAGCCGAAGAGTTAAACCTCAGTTCCAGGGTTAAATGGCATAGAAGAAACAGAAGGAAAAGCCCCTGAGGCGAAGAAAAATAAAGTTTTCCTGTAGCTGAGAAGGTCTCCGGCCCGGTACGGGCTCCAGATCGTTGTTGGTTATTCGTGACGCCAAGATTGTCGTAGAAATATTTATCAAAAGGCAGAAACATGTGAATAAAAATGAAGTGCTGCATGAATGTTCATTGGATGATTTAAAAAAGGCTTTGCAGAGGCAAATAAATATTAAAGGTTGCTATACATCATTACTGTGAACAAACACAATGAAATTAAAAACGCATCTAAAATGGCTTTTTCAGTTTCCAGCACCAAATTCAACACAAATCTTAGAGAATATAAACAGAGTGAGCAGTAATTTTTTTTCAATCAGTGACAAAATCATGCAGAAAATAATTTTTTTCTTTCACTAAATATGCTAGAAATTATTGTACAATCTAGTGAAGCGTAAGTTTTTTTTAATCCGAACAGATGAATAGTTTGTTAGTAGTAGGGCTACATGCTGGTGCAGTTTATTAGTGCTGCTAATCCAACAAGGAGGTCTTGAGTTTGACTCCTGGGCCTTTCTGTATGGTATTTACGTGTTTTCCCCTTACATGCATAGATTTTTCTGGGTACTTTGGTTACAGTTCAGAAAGATATATACTAGGCTAAATGGCAAATTCAAAACTCTGTCCAAGTTAAATGTTATTACAGAATTGTAATTTGATCATCTGTAAAAATTAAAAAAAGTAAAATGGATATTCTTGTTTGATTATTTATACACATGCAATACCTAAGAGAAGCATTTAGGTTGCCCTCAAAAACCCTCCACTTACTCCACCCTGTAAATCCATAGAGACAATAAATGAACATTTATTATCATTACCAAACCTGACCTCCAAGTTAATAAATATCAGTTTATCTGTTTAACAGTGGCTTATTCAGATGACATCATGTCCACACAAAGGTGGCCAGAACAGGGATGTGCACTTTTACAGCTACTGTTGTTGGTGTCTTTCTCACAGTCTAAGGAATCATTGTGCAGACAGAGAGGAGATCCTGAGATCCCTCAGCTGTCTAAAGATGGGGACGTTATTTTGGGGGGAAATTTCTATTTTCACAGCAGCTGGAAGAACAGAGAGAACACTTATACAGAAAAACCTCTGCCTCTGGAATGCATCAGGTGAAGTATAACATATAGTTGCGGGATTATTTTACTGCAGTTTTGTCTGATTAGTTAGTGACTTTGTACAAAACTGTTTTTGTTTCAAAAAATTACAATAACAGTATGTCTTATTATCTACAAAAAAGTTTGAATTTCAGAGAGTTCCAGTTTGCTCAAGCCATGCGTTTTGCCATTGAGGAAATCAATAACAGTACAGACCTACTTCCAGGCATTTCTCTGGGATATAATATTTATGATACATGTGGTTCCATTGTCAGAAGCATAAAAGTTGCACTTGCATTAAACAATGATAACAATAATGTATCTTCAACCTCCGAGGAGCCATGTACCACACCTGTGGCCATAGTTGGAGAAACCTCCTCCTCTCCCAGCACAGCAATAGCTACTGTTCTTGGACCATTTCATATCCCGATGGTGAGTAGGTTTGAGAAAGTAAAAAAGCTAAATATCTAAAATATTTATATTTTAGAAACCTTGTACATGTGAAATTAATATAGCTTTATATTTTAGATATTCACAGTTTATAATTTATTATTTTTTACAGATTTATTTATTTATTTATAATTTTATTTTATTTTAGATCAGCCACTTTGCTACATGTGCTTGTCTCAGTGATAAATCAAAGTATCCATCCTTTCTCAGAACCATACCCAGTGACTATTATCAGGCTAGAGCTCTGGCCCAGTTGGTCAAACATTTCAAATGGACTTGGGTTGGAGCAATTTGTACAAATGATGATTATGGCAATAATGGCATGGCAATATTCACAGATACTGCAGAGCAGCTGGGAATCTGTCTGGAATATTCTATTTCTTTTTTCAGAACAGATTCATCTGAAAAGATAAAAAGGATAATTGATGTAATTAAAGACTCAACTTCAAAAGTTATTGTTGCTTTTGTCTCACACTTGGATATGGATGTGCTCATACATGAGATGTCCCTTCACAATTTGACAGGGTATCAGTGGGTTGGCAGTGAGTCGTGGATTTTTGATTCTCAAATTGCAGCAATGGATAAAAATCACATCCTTGATGGAGCTATAGGACTTTCTATCCCAAAAATACATCTCGTTGGTCTGAAAGAGTTCATGCTGGATGTAAAATCACTGAATTCATCAAATAATGACTTGTTTACAGAGTTCTGGGAGGCATTATTCAGCTGTGAGTTCAAGCAGGTACAATCAGGAGAGACTCAGAAGCAATGCACCGGACATGAGGATCTGACTGGAGTAGAAAACAGCTTCACTGACATGTCCCTCATGCCCATTTTTAATAATGTCTATACTGGAGTGTATTCAGTGGCTCATGCTTTGCACAGTATTCTCAAATGTAATGAAACATGTAACAGTAATATGCAGATCAATCCATTCACGGTGAGTTTAATGTTAAAATTAGGTTTGACAAAAACAAATCATAGACAGAGAAATTAATGTGCATTTTGAAACACAACATAATTTGATTGATGCAGCTTGTAAAATGTATTAAAGCAATGTCAAAAATACATCATAAAAAACAAATATTTTTTCTAAGATTTTGCAGCAACTTTACAAAATTCACTTTAAGACAAAAAATGAATTTGAGTTCTCTTTTAATGAAAATGGAGATCCAGCTGCAAAATATGAGATCATAAACTGGCAGCAAAGAGAAGACGGTATCATAGACTTTGTCACTCTTGGTCTATATGATGCATCATTACCTGAAGATAAACAGCTAATTCTGCAAAATAAGTCTTTGATTTGGGCACAGAAGTCAAACCAGGTAAAATGTTTTGCATTTGTCATTATAATGTTTAACTGTCTTAGACATAAATCCCAGTGTTCCACTACAGTAATTGTATTACATAATCAGCAGTCAAAGTGCAAAATGCTTTTGTTTTTACAGGTTCCTGTGTCTGTTTGCAGTGAGAAGTGTCCTTCAGGAACACGTAAAGTTCTCCAGAAAGGGAAACCTGTTTGCTGCCATGACTGTTTAAGATGTGCAGAGGGAGAAATGAGCAACATCACAGGTTTAGTGCAATTTTATATAAGCATTGGTATTCAAATATTGAGCTAAAAAAGTTGGTATGTGTTATTTCAATGACCAAATTGTGACATTTTAAAAATATTACATAGCTGAATTTGTTTTTAGAGTCTCATCAAGAAATGTTTTATTCAAGATTTCATTGTCACACAGATTCAGATAACAGGATTACAAATTAAGTCTAATTCTGACTTGACTGATGGGCTATGGGATAGTCTGAGCAGGGAGAAAATTTAATGAGTTTGTTATTATGACTGCATTAAGAAAAAAATGAAATCACAAGCAATTTGGCGTTACATGGTAATTTAGTTTTTCCCCAAAATACAATAAGTGGTGGCAGCAGCTAACAATTCCAGTAAAGCTTGAAGCTCTTCCAACAGCAACATCTCAATATTCCTGTGAAAACCATAACTGATTTGGAAAGTGTGTAAATTGTTCTTAAAATAAATTAGTATATTACCAGTCACCACAATTGACCTTAACCTTTGACCCTTTGATGCTCACATCTAATGAGACTGAGTACTACCCTAATGGAGTTACTATGCATATTTATAAGTAAATACATAATTTCTTTCGGGAGATATTGTGCACACAAGACCACCCATGACTGACAGACACAGCACAGTGGACAGAGGCAAAATAAAAAAAAATACAAAAGGTTGTCTTAAAGACCACTTTTAAGAGAAATCTGTGATCTCAATGGGATTTGCCTGGTTAAATAAAGCTAAAATACTGTACATTTGACATATGTGACCCATCACATCAAAATGAGGATTAAATCCAAAAGTGGTATGTGGAGAAACAGGTAGATACAGGGTTTTGATTTAAACATGTTCATATTTGCATTTTGTCAAAATATAATGAATTAATGCTTTATCAATGTATCATTTGAATGAAGCGTCTGGAATACAATCCTAAAAAAAAAATCTGAAGCATTTTTTGAGCATTAGCAACAAAAACCTTGATTTTGAGGAAAAACGCCTTAAAATTTTGAATTTTTCCCTGTGAGCTAGCAATGTTTTTGTTTCTTTCCATCTACAAAATCTTAATATACAAATACTATTTGAGGTTTCTTTTTTACATTGACATCAAAAATTACCCAATAAATTTACATAAAATTAGGATTCAGACCAAACTGTAAAATATCATCGTAACCATCAAGACAAATTAAGTCAAATCTCTGGATAACCTTATGATATCAGAATAATCCAGGTATCAAAATGAAGCTTTTAAATCCAGGAATTTGAAAATTTAATTAGGTCATTTTGACCAGATTTGACTTAATCCTCATTTCGATATGATGGGTCACATGCAACCTTCCTCTTTCTAAAGTTCTAAACAATAGTTTAAACTTTTATACATTGACATCTGTATTTAACAGTGGTAATTGAGCTAAAGCAGGACCTGATGCAAAAAAAAATAGTAATAATTAAAAAAAACTATCCTGCTAGTCCAGTAATTTGTCATTATTAAACAGAAGACCAAATAAATGTACTTTAGGATTAATGTCATATTTATTATGAACAATTGCAGATTCTAACACCTGTGTAAGATGTCCACCAGAATCCTGGTCAAATGACAGAAGAGATACCTGTGTAATAAAAGAAGCTGTTTTTCTGTCCTATGAAGACATCATGGGGATGATTCTCACCGCTGCAGCTTTATTTGGAACATGTATGACGGCTGCTGTAGCTGTGATTTTCTTCAGACACAGGACAACTCCTCTTGTCAGAGCAAACAACTCTGAGCTGAGCTTCCTGCTGCTTTTCTCCTTGACTCTGTGTTTTCTCTGCTCTCTGACCTTCATTGGACGTCCCTCTGAGTGGTCCTGTATGCTCCGTCACACAGCTTTTGGCATCACCTTCGTCCTGTGCATCGCCTGTGTTTTGGGGAAAACTATGGTGGTTTTAATGGCATTTAAAGCTACTCTTCCAGGCAGTAATGTGATGAAATGGTTTGGGCCTACCCAGCAGAGACTCAGTGTTCTTTGTTTAACTTTTGTACAAGTTGTCATCTGTATTCTTTGGTTAACAATTTCTCCTCCATTCCCATCTAAGAACTTTAAGGAATTCAAAGATAAAATAATTTTGGAGTGTGCTCTGGGCTCAGCTGTGGGTTTCTGGTCTGTACTTGGGTACATTGGATTTCTTGCTGTGTTGTGTTTTGTTTTTGCTTTTCTGGCTCGAAAACTACCTGATAATTTCAACGAAGCTAAATTTATCACCTTCAGCATGCTGATATTCTGTGCAGTATGGATCACTTTTATCCCAGCGTATGTCAGTTCTCCTGGAAAATTTAGTGTTGCTGTAGAAATCTTTGCCATTCTTGCTTCTAGTTTTGGACTGCTGATTTGTATCTTCATCCCAAAGTGTTACATCATGTTATTGAAACCAGAAAGAAATACAAAAAAGATGTTGATGGGGAAAGGATCATAAAAAATATATAGAAAATAGAAAACTGTCATAGTAAAAGCATGCATATTCCTGTGATAATTTTGTACTTGAAATATTTTTTTAAATTCTTTTAGTGCATATTTTATTCATTTCTGTAATCACCAACAAATGTTTCTGCTTCATTTCACACATGTGTAGTGGAAAATGACCACTGTTTTACATGCTGTTTCTTCAGTTCATATGTGTATTAGTTTTCTAAAATAAACATGATGCCTTATAAACTACTGTGCTCCAAAGCTCCTAAGAATATCACCTTCACAGAATTCATCAGGGTAATATTGATCTCCTGATCTGTCTTTGGTGCTTGCTTAGCACTGAGAACATGTCCTCACATTTTTCAAGCAAAGTGGGTGGGGATAAAGTGATCCTGTCAAACTAACACACCAATGTGTTAAGTTGGTTTCCCTAATGATGCACACAAAATTGGGCACAGATCTGATCATGTGTGTGTGATTTAGAGCCAACCATGTGCAAAATGGTTGGGGTTAAAATGATCTTAAATTAATACATAAACGTGTTGAGCAGGTCTCCCTGGTGATGCACACAGAATTTTTATTGCAGATCAGATATGGGATTTAGAGCCAACCATGTGCAAAATGGTAGCTGCCGACAGTCTGCCTGCACCCCCTCCCCCCAAGAGCATGTGAATAAAACAGATTTTTGCAAAAATTACAGGATTCTGCTCAAACAGGTGATCATCTGAATTCAGCTGAAGGGGTTGAAATGTATGTTAAATGTAAACACTGAACTAAACAAGCAGATAATTATTTAATTGGCTCTGATTGCACAACAAAGAATCAACATGCTAATAAGTAGCATCCATGTTTAGCTAATTCTATAAACAGCAAGTTGAATGTGATGTCATGTTATATCCACATGTGGGTCACATCTGGGTTGTGAGGAGTTCATATTGGAATCTGATTAAGGCAGCATTTAAAATATAATGCAAAAACATCCAATTTTTGCAAAATAGAAATGGAATTGATCATTAAGACCTGCAGTGTGAATATAGCCTTAAAGTTTTTTTAATCATAAATATCAATATCTATAATATCTTGGGGGTGCACCTGAACAACAACCTCACCTGGAGCAACAACACTACCAGWCTGATCAAGAAGGCACATCAGCGCCTCTACCTCCTGAGACGGCTGCGGCRGGCCGGACTCGGAAGCTCAGTCCTCGCCTTCTTTTACAGATGCACGGTGGAGAGTGTTTTACGCTCCAGCATTATAGTGTGGCATGGATGCTGCACTGTAGCAGAGAGGAAAGCGCTGCAGAGGGTGGTAAAAACTGCACAGAAATTAGTTGGAGCCAGTTTTCCCACCACCACGGACATCTACACCTCCAGATGCAGGAAGAGGGCCACCTGCATCAGGAAGGACCCCTCCCACCCAGCACACACTTTTTGTTCTGCTTCCCTCAGGAGATTGCAGAGCATTAGGTGCAAAACCATCAGACTGAGAAGCAGCTTCATTACAGAAGCTGTGAGACTCAGACTGGAACACGAGACCTCAAAATCAGAACGAAAACAAACTGTAACTGCACATTCAATGCACATGTATTTGCAATTCTGGCATTGCTGCACACATTTCATATCTGATTTTCTTTTTTGTTGTATTTTTCAATTGTAATTTTTTTAATTTTGCAATCTTCTAGTATATTTATTTGTTTTATCTATATTTTTGGATAGACTGGAACCTTGGGTACACAATTTTGTTCCACCACATGTATGTGTGTTGCGAACAACAATAAAACTTCCTTGAATCCTTGAATAATATTAAAATCCAACACTTAACATGGCTATATCGATTTTCAACACAAGTCTACTAAAAACTTAGTGATATGAACAGAGCGACCTGAATTTTTTTATCAGGATTCATGATTGATAATGTCAGAGGCAGGCAATGAGAGTGAACAGAGACTCACGAGACAGAACAAAACCAGTTAAGGTGAGTTTATTGTGCTGGATCAGTTCACAGCTGCTGGACCTGGGAGGAGAGGGAATTGAGATGAGTAACCAAATCCTGATGTGAAGGCTGGCTGATGTAATCTTCGCAGGAGGAGGCAGACTTACAAGTTTGGTGAGCTGGTCCAGGCCTGGGTCCAACAAAGAAGGCAGGACAACTGATCTGTGGTGGTGGCTGGTGTGCTCAGGTGGTGCTTGTGCTGTGACCAATATTTACAGGTGGTAGGTGAGTATTTACAGGCACAGGTGCAGGAGGTACTTCAGGGTTTCACCAGGTTAGTGCAGGGCAGGTCCTCAGGATTTCCTAGGCAGGGAGAAACACAGGAGGGGATCCAGGTGAACTTCACCAAGCACAGGATACACAGAAGACTGATTAATAACTTCAAAAAGTTCTAAATTTACAGGAGAGGCTGAGATACCAGTACCCAAAATGACTGATGAACCAGCACTGGATGGAGGCAGGTAAGGTCCTTAACTGCAGCCAGGGTTAATCAGCTGCAGCTGGCTCAATCAGCTGCTAGGCAACGGTAATTGAGAAACTGCAGACAGAACTCCACCAGTACTCCCCTCTTAATATACCTCCAGGTGACCAAAGCCTCTTCTCCGGGTGGTCTCTGAAAAAAAGCAGAGATGAAGGCCAGATCCAAGATGGGGGACCCTGAGATCCAGGACCTCTCTTCTGGACCATAACCCTCCCCGTCAACCAGAAACTGCATCCCCCGTCCCCTGCGTCGAACATCCAGGATCTTGTTTACTGTGTAAGCTGATTATTGAAGATGCGTGGGGGAGGAGGGGGGTCAGCAGGTGGGTTCAGAGGACTCTCAGAAACCTCCTTAATATGAGAGACGTGGAAATTGGGTTGAATCTTCATGGTGGAAGGGACTTGTAACCTGACAGCTGATGGGTTAATGATGTGTGTGATGGGAAAGGGACCAATGAAGCGAGGGGCGAGTTTTCGGGGCACATGCAGGCAGATGTCTCTTGTTGAAAGCAAACCCTTTGACCAACTTGGTATCTGGGGGCAGAAGAACGGCACTTGCCTGCATACATTTTGTTTCATCCCACTGTTTGTAAGAGGGCCTGGGTGGTCTGCCTCCACATCCTGCGGCATCATTGGATGTGTATCTGTACCGAGGGAACCAAGACATCCTGTTCTCTTTCTGGAAACAGATGAGGAGCATAACCCAGAGAAATCTTGAATGGTGACAATCCTGTGGCTGAGGAAGTGTGGGAGTTGTGAGTATACTCAATCCAGGTGAGGTGTTTGCTCCAGGTGAGGTGTTTGCTCCATGAATGTGGGTTGTTGTTAATGACACATGTAAGTGCTACCTCCTGTTCCTGATTGCGCCTTTCAGTTTGGCCATTGGATTGTGGATGATAACCAGACGTGAGGCTGAAGCTGGCACCTAATGCTTTGCAAAAAGCCCTCTATACTTGAGATATGAATTGTGGACCTCTGTCTGAAACTGTGTCAGTGGGTATGCCATGAAGTCGAAAAACGTGTAAAACCAGAAGTTGTGCAGTCTCAAAAGTTGATGGGAGTTTGGCTAAGGGAATGAAATGAGCGACCTTAGAGAAACGATCAATAATAGTCAGAATAGTGGTTTTGCCATCAGAGGGTGGGAGGCCTGTAATGAAATCTAATGTGATTTGAGACCATGGCCTACTTGGTGAGGGTAATGGTTGCAATAATCCTGCTGGAGGTTGATGCTGTTCTTGTTTCGTGCGCAGGTGGAGCAGGCAGCCACACACTCTTTAATGTCCTTATACATAGATGACCAGCAAAAATATTTTTGAAAATGCAAACATGCGATTAATGCCTGGATGACAGGAAAACCGGTGACAGTGGATCCAATCCAAAACCTTGGTCTTGATGGATGACGGAACAAAAAGTGTACTTACTGGTTCGGTGCATGGGTCAGGTTCTGTTTGTTGTGCCTGGATGACGTCCTACTCGATGGACCAGGTGAGGGATCCCATGACACAGGTTGGTGGCAGGATGGTAGTTTCAGACTTGGGTAAATGTGAAGAAGTGAACTGTTGAGACAAAACATCTGGTTTGACATTTCTTGAACCTGGTATGTATGTGACGGTAAAGTTAAACCTGGCAAAAAAGAGTGACCAGCAGGCTTGCCTGGGATTGTGGTGTTTAGCATTCTAAAATGTACGATTTATGGTCTGTCCAGATGAAAAAAGGACATCTAGCACCCTCCAACCAATAGTGCCATTCTTCTAGAGCTAGCTTGATGGCCAACAGTTCCTTGTTACCAACATCATAGTTTTGTTCAGATGTGGAAAGTCGTTTAGAGAAGAAGGCGCAGTGCTGAATCTTGTTATCTGACTCAAATCTTTGTGAAAGGACTGCCCCCACACCAGAGTCCGACGTATCAACCTTAATGAACTGTTTGACATCTAAGTGCAGAGGAAAAAGCTTTTTTAACTTAACAAAAGCCACTTCTGTCTCAAGGGCCCAGATAAAATCACGGAGGGTAGAGGTGAGTTATGCGAGTTGTGCTGCAACCTAGCTATAGTTTGACAAACCTCCTGTAAAAATTGGTAAAACCAAGAAACCATTGGAGTTGTTTTCTGTCTTTAGGTGTGGGCTAATCAGTGACTGCCTTGGTCTTTTGGGGGTCGGTTCTATACTGGCCTTCAAAAATAAATCCCAAGAATGAGACTGACGGCATGTGGAACTCGCATTTTTCAGCTTTTACAAAAAGTTGATTTTCTAACAGTCTTTGGAGGACGGTCCGAACGTGTACCTTGTGCTGTTCCAGGTTCTGCGAATAAATCAGAATGTCGTCAGATAGACAAACACAAATACATTCAAGAAGTCTGAAGACATCATTTATTAGGTCCTGGAACACGGCGGGTGCATTGGTCAAGCCAAAAAGGCATAACTAAATATTCAAAGTGCCCTAATGGTGTCTTAAAAGCTGTTTTCCATTCATCCCCTTCTTTAATACGAACCAGGTGGTAAGCATTGCATGAGTGTAGTTTGGAAAGCACTGTGGCAGAATGCAGTTCTTGAACTGAGTCTATTAAAGGTAATGGGTATTTGTTTTTCACGGTGATATTATTTAGCCCCCGGTAATCAATACACGGCTGAAGAGACTTGTCTTTTTTCACTGAAAACAAATCCTGCCCCTACTGGAGAGGTAGAGGGGCGGATGATGCCAGAGGCCAGGGACACTTCAACATAATTTTTCATAGCTTCCTTTTCTGGGCCTAATAGATTGTACAACCTGCTGGATGGTAATGGGGTTCCAGAGATGAGTTCGATTGAGCAGTCATAGGATATGTGTTGAGGTAATGAGAGAGCTCTCTGTTTACTAAAGACCAATGCCAGGTCGTGATAAATAGGAGGAACTTTAGAGAGATCAATGGCTTTGGCAATATCTGCTTCTTTGCTTTTACTGTTAACTGTTGGAATGGCAGAACGGAGGCAAGTACTGAGGCAAAAATCACTCCAGACATCAACCCTTTCTTAGACCAGTTTATAACAGGATTGTGTTTAACCATGGAAAACCAAGAATCATTTGCTGAGAAGGAGAGTCAAAAATGAAACTCACCCAGTTCATGGTGGTTACCAGAGATGATGAAGATCAGAAACCTTGTGTGTGATTCGGGTCAAGTTATGTCCAGTTACACCAGAAACAGCCAAACGTGGGTCGATGAGTTGAGTGGGGATGTCCAACTGTCTGAAGATGTCTGAAGACAAAAGGTTTTGTTCAGCTCCAGAGTCTATGAGGGCGGAGATAGACATTCTCTTTATTGTTGGTCAGCATAGCTGGGAGTGAAAGTCAGGAGGCAGAGGATAGTAGGGAAGACCTCGCCGGAACTTCTGCATCTACCGGTGGACTCACCAGTTTCCCTTTGCCGGGCAAGTGGCGACAAAATGTCCCTTTATCCCATAGTACAGGCAGACCTTGGTATTGAACCATCATTGTTTCTCTTCAGGAGTCAGCCGAGTTCTGCCGATCTGCATGGGTTCAGGCTCGGTTGAATGTTCGACCACTGACGGGAAGGAGTCAGAAGAAAGATCCTAGGTGCGTAGTGGAATGTAGAATCTCTGGGACTCTGGTACTTGTAGTCCTTTCTCCATTCTCTCATGTGATTATCGATCCTGATCACCAATTTGATGAGTTCATTTAAGCTGTCTGGTTCATCTCTGTAGGACAGTTGATCCTTCATCTGTTCAGAGAGAATTTGTAAATATACTTTTCAAAGCCAATGTATCCCAACCTGACTCAGCAGCGATGATGCAGAAATCGACTGAATGTTCTGCTACACTCTTGCTTCTCTTGACATAATCTCAGTCACTTTGCTGCCTCCTCCTGCTGTAGAGGGTGATCAAAAACACGTTTAAACTCCGTGATAAATTGCGGAAAGGTTAGAGAATCAATGGGATGAGACTGACGAAAAAACTGAAACGATCGTAGCCCTTTGCCTTTTGGAGCTGAGATCAGGTAAAAAGACAAAAAGAAAAAAAGATCAGGTAAGAAATCTTTGCTCTATGCGAGGAATATAATGATGGTGCACGACTGAATGCAAGCTCACATTGAAGTAAGAATCCACCACAAAAATCAGGGTTACATTCAAACAGCTCAGAAGGTCTAAAATCTGGTTCTCGGGGAGGAAGGGTGGGTGTAGATGGAGAGGGCTGAATGGTCTGAAGTGCTGGTGGTGAAACAGTAGTTATTGAATTTTGCTTGACATGGATAGCTTAAGTTCCCGACGAACTTGGTCCATCTGCATGCTGGAGGTTAGTTGGTGCTGGCTGATCTGTTGAAGGTGGGACTCATTGTTATCGATTCTCTGGACTTGGGTCTGCAGAAAAAGTTGAGTTTGTTCACTCTGAATTGCCTTGAGACATTATGGTAGGTGGCTGGTTCATACCATCAGGATTCATGATTGATAATGTCAGAGGCAGGCATTGAGAGTGAACAGAGACTCATGAGACAGAACAAAAACAGTTAAGGTGAGTTTATTGTGCTGGATCAGTTCACAGCTGCTGGACCTGGGAGGAGAGGGAATTGAGATGAGTAACCAAATCCTGAGGTGAAGACTGGCTGACATAATCTTCGCAGGAGGAGGCAGACTTACAAGTTTGGTGAGCTGGTCCAGGCCTAGGTCCAACAAAAAAGGCTGGGCAACTGATCTGTGGTGGTGGCTGGTGTGCTCAGGTGGTGCTTGTGCTGTGACCAATATTTACAGGTGGTAGGTGAGTATTTACAGGCACAGGTGCAGGAGGTACTTCAGGGTTTCACCAGGTTRGTGCAGGGCAGGTCCTCAGGATTTCCTAGGCAGGGAGAAACACAGGAGGGGATCCAGGTGAACTTCACTAAGCACAGGATACACAGAAGACTGATTAATAACTTCAAAGAGATCTAAATTCACAGGAGAGGCTGAGATACCAGTACCCAAAATGACTGATGAACCAGCACTGGATGGAGGCAGGTGAGGTCCTTAAATGCAGCCAGGGTTAATCAGCTGCAGCTGGCTCAATCAGCTGCTAGGCAACGGTGATTGAGAAACTGCAGACAGAACTCCAACATTTTTCAGGCAATCAGTGATAAAACCATGTAGATTATTGTTGTTTTTATTCACTTCGAATGATAGAAATATTTCTAGAACTTATGAAGAATGAGTTTTTATTTATTTTTTCATCTAAACAGCTCAACAGTTTGTTAGCTGCAGGGCTACATGCTAGTGCACTTTGTTAGCACTGTAGTATCACAACAAGGAATTGGGTTTGGCTCCCGCCATTCTGTGTGGTATTTGCATGTTCTCCCCTTGCATGCATTATTTTGTTTTGTTTTGCTTTGTTTTGTTTTGTTTTTCTCTGATATTCTGGTTTGATTCTACAGTCAATTCAGAAAGATTTATGTTAGGTTAACTGGCAAATAAATTATAAACTCTGCCAATGTACTGTAAAAATAACGTCTTTCTAAAAATAAAATACATATTTTTGTTTGATTATTTTAACACAGGTAATACCTAACAGAAGCATTTAGGTTGCCCTCATAAACCCTACATTTACTCCACCCTGTAAATCCATGGAGACAACACAACAGCATTACCCTCATCAAACTGACCTCCAAGTTAATAAATATCAGTTTGGATTATGGTTCTTGGAGTGTAGCACAGTGGCTTATTCAGATGACATAATGTCCACTCAAAGGTGGCCAGAACAGGGATGTGCACTTTTACAGCTACTGTTGTTGGTGTCTTTCTCACAGTCTAAGGAATCATTGTGCAGACAGAGAGGAGATCCTGAGATCCCTCAGCTGTCTAAAGATGGAGACATTATTTTGGGTGGAATTTTCTATTTTCACAGCAGCTGGAAGAACAGAGAGAACACTTATACAGAAAAACCTCTGCCTCTGGAATGCATCAGGTGAAGTATAACATGTAAATGAGTGATTATTTCACTGCAGTTTTGTCTGATTAGTTTATGACTTTGTACAAAACTGTTTTTGTTTCAAAAATTTATAATATCAGTATTTTTTATTTGCCTGCAAAAAGTTTGAATTTCAGAGAGTTCCAGTTTGCTCAAGCCATGCGTTTTGCCATTGAGGAAATCAATAACAGTACAGACCTACTTCCAGGCATTTCTCTGGGATATAATATTTATGATACATGTGGTTCCATTGTCAGAAGCATAAAAGTTGCACTTGCTTTGAACAATGATAACAATAATGTATCTTCAACCTCCGAGGAGCCATGTACCACACCTGTGGCCATAATAGGAGAAACCTCCTCCTCTCCCAGCACAGCAATAGCTACTGTTCTTGGACCATTTCATATCCCAATGGTGAGTAGGTTTGAGAAAGTTAAAGTTTTTAAACTCAGCTCATTTGTTTTGTTTTTAAATAGTTTTTATTTAGATACGTACTTCATTACTTTATTTCTTTAAAAAATATTTTTTTCATTTAGATCAGCCACTTTGCTACATGTGCTTGTCTCAGTGATAAATCAAAGTATCCATCCTTTCTCAGAACCATACCCAGTGACTATTATCAGGCTAGAGCTCTGGCCCAGTTGGTCAAACATTTTAAATGGACTTGGGTTGGAGCAATTTGTTCAAATGATGATTATGGCAATAATGGCATGGCAATATTCACAAATACCGCAGAGCAGCTGGGAATCTGTCTGGAATATTCTATTGCTTTTTTTAGGACAGATTCATCTGAAAAGATTCAAAAGATGATTGATTTAATCAAGGCCTCAACTTCAAAGGTTATTGTTGCTTTTGTCTCACACTTGGACATGGCTGTACTCATACATGAGTTGTCCCTTCACAACTTGACAGGGTACCAGTGGGTTGGCAGTGAAGGTTGGATTTCTGATACTCAATTTGCAGCAATGGACAAAAATCAAATCTTAAATGGAGCTATCGGCCTGTCTATCCCAAAATCACATGTTAGTGGTCTGAAAGAGTTCATGCTGGATGTAAAGTCACTGATTTCATCAAATGACTTGTTTACAGAGTTCTGGGAGGCATTATTCAGCTGTAAGTTCAAGCAGGTACAATCAGGAGAGACTCAGAAGCAATGCACTGGACATGAGGATCTGACTGGAGTAGAAAACAGCTTCACTGACATGTCCCTCATGTCCATCCTTAATAATGTCTATACTGGAGTGTATTCAGTGGCTCATGCTTTGCACAATATTCTCAAATGTAATATAACATGCAACAGTGATGTGCAGCTCGATCCAGTTACGGTGAGTTTAATGTTAACATTAGGTATGACAAATACATTTCATAAACAGAGAAAATAATGTGCATTTTGAAACACAAAATAATTGACTGACGCAGTCTTTTAAATTTAATAAATCAATGTCAATAAACGATCTCTTTTAAGATTTTGCAGCACCTTTATAAAATTCGCTTTAAGACAAAAAATGAACTTCAAGTCTCATTTAATGAAAATGGTGATCCAGCAGCAAAATATGAGATCATAAACTGGCAGCAAAAAGATGATGGCATAATAGACGATGTCACTGTTGGTTTTTATGATGCATCACTACCTGAAGACAAACAACTAATTCTGCAAAAAAAGACTTTCTTTTGGGCACAGAAGTCAAACCAGGTCAAATTTATTGCACTTTGTGATGCTACTGTTGACAATATTAGACACAAACTACAATGTTCCATAAGATAAGTAGTAGTCAAAGTAAAAAAATGCTTATTTTGTTTCTTAGTTTTGTTTTACAGTGACTGCATATTTCATGCTGGTTTTGTTCTTGTAGGTTCCTGTATCTGTTTGCAGTGAGAAGTGTTCTCCAGGAACACGTAAAGTTCTGCAGAAAGGAAAACCAGTTTGCTGCCATGACTGTTTAAGATGTGCAGAGGGTGAATTGAGCAACATCACAGGTAATGTTTGATTGCAATAATTTAAAGTTTTGTTTTACCAGAGAAAAAAAGTCTCATAATATTAAATGAATGTATAATTTTAAAAGTATGCTTTACCTAGACATTATGTAGGTAAGGTCCTGTTTGGTTGAATTCAGGGCTCTGTATGGGCTAGTCATAAATTTCTACACTAAACTGATCAAACCATCTGTTTATACTCACAAGTATAAATACATGAAGGTAGGGTTTTGTCCTTAGGCCTTTTAGTATCGAACAAAGAAGTAGGTGTGTGTTTGTTTAATCAATAGAAAATTTATAATATTTTAAAAATAGAGTGCTGAGTGTGACTCAGATTTATTTTAAAAGTGTCTTGTATAAGGTTTAAAAGTTTAAAGAGTCAGATGTTCGAACAGAAATTAAGTCTAATTCCACCTGGACTGCTGAGTTTTGTGGTAGTCTGAGCACACGGGGGGGTGGGGGTAAACAAATGAGTCCTCTACAACAAATGTTTCATTCACAAACAATTTGCCATTACATGGTAATTTAGTGTTTCCCCAAAGTACTAAAGTGGTGGCAGCTGCTCACTGTAACACTTCCAGTACAGCCTGGAGCTCTTCCAGCAGGAAAGTCTCAGTATATTTGCATGAAAGCCACAACTGATAATAAATGTGGGATGAGTTTTCATTGTAGTGTCTTTAAATAAATGTAGCAAAACAGATTCCACAATTCCAGTGACTTTGGAATGATTTAACATAACAGCAATCCAATTTGTCTGGTTAGAGGTTTTTTTTTTAATTCCTAAATGTAGTTGCTATAAACTATGGAAGAGGATTAGGGCCACAGAGAATACCTGGACTGCTGAGTTTTGTGGCAGTCTGAGCGCGCGGGGGGTGGGGGTGGGGTAAACAAATGAGTCCTCTACATAAATAAATAAATTATATTCTACATAATAAATAAATAAATAAATAAATAAATAAATAAATAATTTTTTCCTGAGTTCTCGTTCTTTTTCTCAGAATTCTGACAGTCTGAATTATTTATTTATTTTTCCTCTGTGGCTCTTATACTCATCTGTACAAAACAATATCTACAAAAGGTAATGCATTACTTTGTCTTACCCTTTCCACATTACATACATCCCTGCTAATGATCAGAACAATATTTTAATTTTTTTATACATTATCATCAATGAAATTATCAGTGTTAGAAAAAAACAAAACAAAAATCCGTTACTTCAGTTTAATGCCATGCTTATTATGAACAATTGCAGATTCTGTCACCTGTGTAAGATGTCCACCAGAATCCTGGTCAAATGACAGAAGAGATGCCTGTGTAATAAAAGAAGCAGTTTTTCTGTCCTATGAAGACATCATGGGGATGATTCTCACCGCTGCGGCTTTATTTGGAACATGTATGACGGCTGCTGTAGCTTTCATTTTCTTCAGACACAGGACAACTCCTCTTGTCAAAGCAAACAACTCTGAGCTGAGCTTCCTGCTGCTTTTCTCCTTGACTCTGTGTTTTCTCTGCTCTCTGACCTTCATTGGACGTCCCTCTGAGTGGTCCTGTATGCTCCGTCACACAGCTTTTGGTATTACCTTCGTCCTCTGTATCTCCTGTGTTTTGGGGAAAACAATGGTGGTTTTAATGGCATTTAAAGCTACAATTCCAGGCAGTAATGTGATGAAACTGTTCGGGCCTACACAGCAGAGACTCAGTGTTCTTTGTTTAACTTTCATACAAGTTGTCATATGCATTTTATGGCTGACAATTTCTCCTCCGTTTCCATCTAAGAACTTTAAGGAATTCAAAGATAAAATCATTTTGGAGTGTGATCTGGGTTCAGCTGTGGGTTTCTGGTCTGTACTTGGGTACATTGGACTTCTTGCCTTGTTGTGTTTCATTTTTGCCTTTCTGGCACGAAAACTACCTGATAATTTCAACGAAGCAAAATTTATCACCTTCAGCATGTTGATATTCTGTGCTGTATGGATCACTTTTATCCCAGCATATGTCAGCTCTCCTGGAAAATTTAGTGTTGCTGTAGAAATCTTTGCCATTCTTGCTTCTAGCTTTGGACTGCTGATTTGTATATTCATCCCAAAGTGTTACATCATGTTAATGAAACCAGGAAGAAATACAAAAAAGACTATGATGGGGAAAGGATCACACAAATAAAAAAGGAGAGAAAACTGTCAAAGTAAAAACATGCAGATTGCTGTGATTATTTTAAATTTTATTTAATATTTTGGTAACTTACAAGTGGTGAAAGATGCTGTCAGCCTGAAGAAGGAGTCCTATTGGGTCTTTTTGGCCTGTGGGAGTCCGAAATCTGCTGATAGGTATTGGCAGTCAAAGTGGATTGTGGATCAGGTTGTAGGGATATGCTGTTTTGTCGATGTTACGGACAATGCTATATCATAAATACCTCGTAATTATTAGCATAACAAAGGGGCACCACCTGTTTATTTCAGGAAATAATTCATTGATTTTAAATCAGTCTTCATTACTGAGTAGTGAATTCTATCATTTTCAAGACATAACCCAATAAATGACGCACAGACAAACGGAATTTCATAATATACCCTATATTAAAAATGATTCAGAGGTCACAATACAACAGATTATTTGGGCAGACAGAAAATCTTATCATCAAAGCCTTGAGGTTTAATTAATAAACATTAATGTCAGTCACAATAATAAGCTAGTATCTTTCCCCTGAGTCACTTTCTACTCTACACTCAAAAAGATTATAAGAAGCTTGAAGGTTAATAAAAAG